GGCAATGGCCTACACGGCGTGGCACGAGTCAGTGACATGGCCAAGCAAAGGCGACCGGCCCACCTTCCACTTGCCACGGCCAGCGCCGCCCGGGTTCTTGGCTTCAAACTCGGCGACCGCAGCCTTGAGCGCGTCGATCTAAGGACGCATATGAGCGACGTTGTGACATATGTCCAAGGCCATTGACCTGCTTCTTGGTCCATGCGGAGCGCTCGCCCTTCTTCCTGGGCGGCGCGTCGTTGCTGTCGCCAGTTTGCGATCGCGGTGCCATTGCAAATTCAAGAATGACTTTAAAAGGCGGAGCAAATCATACAATTCTCCCATCCGGACTGTCATACAAACATCCAGTATATCTATTAACTTTAAAATATGTTGTTTTATCCGGAAAAGTAGGAAACGAAGGCAGCCAATCGCAAGGGAGTATGGAAGCATTGGCCCTGGCCAACTCGACTTTAACAGATGGTGCATACAAAAACCAAATGACTTTGCTTCAGGATAGTATCAAGACATCAGGGAGGTCGCACAAGAGCCCATTTTGATGCCTTGCGAGATCGTCGTGTCGTCGGGATTTGGGTGGCGTCGGGTGCTCGAGCGTCATGTCGTCCTTGAGCTGCAGTCCTTGCACGTTCTTGGGCACCGAAGGGCTCATGTTCTGCACGTGGCGCGACTTCACGACGCGGTAGACAACCATCGTAGGCTTGGCCTCCGTGTTGATGCCGAGGATGCGTCCGGTGACACCGCGTACTTCGATGCCCTTCTTCTTCGGCTCAATGAAAACCATGCACCTTGCCAAATGCGAGGACGTGACTGACAGCCGGCTTGAAGCCGGTGAGGATCTCGAGCGGGCTATTGTTGTGCGCGTTGGCCTTGGACGGGCGCGGTTGCGTGAGTCTTTTGGTGCACAATGCCCTTGTCGGCGAGGTAACGTTAGGTCGGAAACGTCTTGGACGAGTACTCCCCCCGGTCCGGCCGAAGCCCTGTGACCGTGACCTTGAATTGGCGCTCGAAAAACGGGATGGAATCGCGCGTTGTGCTCTCTTGGTGATTTTCCTTCGTGATCGCGTACGTCTGGACGTAGCCGGAGGCGTGGTCTGTGTAGTTGACAATGTACCAGTTGCCAAAACGGTCAGACGGCGTGATCGGTCCGCAAAGATCCGACGTGACGACCGCGCTGTCGGAGCCGGGGACGCCATGTCGTGCTGCAGCTACCGCGAGCGTGACTCTTGCCGGCGGCGCAATCGAGGCGCATATGGTCAAGGTCGCCCGCGTGGCGCGTGATATGCATCATCCCAGTACGATCGCGCGTTATCTGCAGGACGGCCTGGTAGTTGAGGTGACAGAGGCGACAATGCGAATCGTGGAGCGAGCCAGACGCTTGGTGCACGAGCATAGACGCACTATACGCGGGTAGCTTGTTGGTCCGATGCGACACTGTGACGGGCTGCTTACCAGACATGACCAAAACCTTGCTCGAGTCGACGAGGAGCGTGAAGTCGTCAATGTCCATTTCGGCTACAGAGAGGAGGTTTATCTGTATAATCGGCACGCAGGGAACATCGTCGAGCTCGGAACGGCGGCGCCAGTGCCCGGGAACCTGCGGCGAATTGAGCCTTGACCGTGGCGGACACGAGCTGCTTCTTGGCAACATAAACGCGCAGCGTCGATGCCGTTGGGTTGTGGAAGATGGACGCGTCGGCGTCAAGATGATGCGTGCAGCCCGAGTCAAGGATGTACGGGCGCGGCAGGGCGAAAAGAACCCGCATTGGCAAGCCCACGGCGTCGGGTACAGGGCGTCGGCGAAGCCCACTTTGTTGGGGGCAGCGTCGAGGTCGGCATCAGCAGCGGCGACAGCGGCGGCAACGGCGCGGCGACAGGCTCGGGCTCCCAGGTTGTGGGCCAGGACCGGGCCGAGGACTAGGCTGCGGGTTGGGTTGCACGTTGGTCTGCGGGTTGGTCTGCGGGTTGGGCTACGAGCCGGTTTGCGGACCAGGCGTTGAAGAGCACGGCGCGCAAGCTTCAAGATAGCGGTCTCTGCTCGATGCCATCAGCGTCGACGATCGCCCGCGTCAAGATGGCCTACGCGGTCCACGTCGGATCCGAGCGCATAATCTACAAGCGGGTGTACACGGCACACCAGGTCTGCAAAAGCTGCCGGCAAGGCCGCTATACACTGTACAACGGTAGCGCTCTGCGAGGTTCAGCGACACGTGGCTGGGGCATGTGGCCACGCTAGTTTAGTCAGCACGGGCTGCAAATTGCTCTGCGATGTCAACCATCCGACCTCTACCAGTAGTACTGGAAGTGGCGCCGTCGCGTCGATGCGCTTCCTCGTGCAATAAAGAAGTAGTTTTCGAGAATGAAAATTGGTGTTTGGAGGTAGTGCAGCCTGCTTTGGCGATAAACTCAGTCCTTCCTCACCATCGAGTGCGGAAGGTCGGGCGGTGTCGTCGTCAATGTCGTCAATGTCGTACGGAGCGAAAGTTCCGACTCCGTCACACGGGCTCGACTGTTTGATGTAGAGGTCACGGGTTGATCCATGGCTTTCTTTGGACGTACATCCGAGCGCTGTAGCAGAGTTGGCACTCCCAGCGGCTGCGTGGCTGGCTGTGCCATATTGGAAGCTTCGGTCAACGTTTGCCGCCGATCGGCGTCGGTGCCAACCACATCAACAGACGCGTTTTGACGCGACCGGCTTGCGCTCTCTAACTCTTTTCGGGTCGCCGCCGAGTGCATCAAGTGAGTTTCGGCTGCGTATCGACCTGCACCGGCCATCGGCCACGACGCCGGCGGTAGCACATTCGGTGTTTGCATCATGGGCGACGCCATGTCGAGCTGCATTGGGCCGGCGAGGACGTAACGTAATTTTTGGACTTCGGCGACGACGGCGCTCGTCTCGGCGGGCAAGGCCGCAATGCACTTTACGGCGAGGTCGAGGGTGTGACTCGAGTACGCGGCCACGGCTTGCTTCGTCAAGAGTGGCTCCAACCGCTGGACCGCTGTCATCAACGCCTCGCCGGTATCGTTACCCTGGCCAGGAGCTGCACTTGAATGAGAATAGGCCGTGTCAACCACAGCGTCCTACCAGAGCCCGACGTCACACATAGTAGGTTTTCGAGGTAGAGACAAACCTGCGTCTTGGTCGACGCGGTGTGTTGACGCTTCTTGGCCTCCGTTGATTGGAAGGACGGGGATCGCAGCGGTGTCTCCATCCTGTGGCAGATTCGGAAATGCAGGATGTATTGTTTCAACTGCTTGTTGAAGTAAATCTTGTTTTCGTTTTTTCGTTTCCACTGCTAGTTGTAGTAAAATCTAGTTGACAACTAGATATTGTTGTGCTTAATACAAAACGTTCCCAGGATCACCGCCAGGTTGATAACTTGCATAACTCAATCACAGACGAGTATGAAGCGCCTGCCTTCGACTAGTGGATTCAAATTGTCAACGGTGACTGCCCACTAGACACTTTTCAACAATTACTGCTGTCCGTCCACGCGCTCCGACTTGAACATAATTCTATCCACTGGGTCCCGTGACCATGATGCCCTCTCCATTTCATGCCGCCGGAGCCTCACACCAAGGGGTTTATGTTGTCACTTGCTCACACTTTCCCTTTCCTCGTGCAAACAACTATTGTCTGCAAATAAGAACTCAGTTTTTTTTGTAGCACATACTCAACACGTCGTGTTTAGAATTTAGTTGGTACAAAATGGAAGCTCAGGAAGAGTCCGATGCGAGGCGGCGCTTCGGAGGCCGTCGCTGCTGCGGTCAGCTGGCGCCAAGCCAACTGAACAAGGGGAGTCGCGCTCGTGCGTGCCTACGTGGCCGTGGAGGCGGGTGTGATGGCTGCCATCGACTGGATGCCGGAGGCGCTCGATCCAAACGACGCAGGCTGGTCCCAGTCCTTGCTCGTGCTCGCCATCGAACGCGGAAGGTCGGACAGTGCCGTCGTCGATGTCGTCAATGTCGTGTGGAGCGGAAGCGTCGCCTCCGGGCCAGACGCTTGGGTGCTTGATGTGAACGACACGACCTGATCCATACCTACATGGGACCGCGCTGCGTCTCGCAGGGGCAGCTCTGATGGAGACGCCATTGTGGACGTTTGGGTCATCGCAGTCATCCCTTCGGTCGATGAGGGGTTGGTGGTGCGGGCCATCCCATAAGGCACGCTTGGACGAGGCATATTGTCGGTCCCAAACCCGGCGTTGGTCGCTGTGGGGTGACCCGTGTGGCCCATCGTGGCGTACCCGGCCATGGGCATTTCAGATGGTCGGGTCGGATACGTGACCCAGTTTTGACTGTGCGGCGGCGGCTTGGACGTGATGGGGGCCGACGCATACGACGGCACCGGTGCGTACATCGGCATCATCGACGGCGCCATGTTGATTTGCACTTGGTTTGCGAGGACGTAGCGCAGCTTTTGGACTTCGGCAACAACTGCGCTAGTCTCGGCGGGCAAAGCCGCAATGCACTGCACGGCGAGGTCGAGGATGTGACTCGGGTACGCCGACACGGCTTGCTTTGTCAAGAGCGGCTGCAACGTCTGGATCGCCGACATCAACGACTCCTTCGTGGTCACGTCGATGTACGGCGGCATGGGTGCCGGCACGAGAAAGCTCTGTGACCCGTTCGACGATTGCAGCGCTGGGTTTAGCCTATTCAGAGTGCCATGAGCATGCAACGACTTGCATGCGTCGTACGATCGAAGCTTTTGCTGGCTCATTGTGGCTTCGGCCATGAGTCCCAGACCTGCGTGTTGATCCGCCCTATGTCGCAGTATTAGATGTATAGGTAGAATGAGACGGAATGCGTACATGCGGCCGGACCCGCTCTTGGGCGCGAGGTGGTTCTTGTACCGGTACTCGCACTGCTTGGCACTAGAAGGAACCATCAAGTACATCGTAACAATCAAATGCAATGACGTACGTTCGGCTGGGAATC